GCTAAACCGCTAAATATAGGAGGGTTGTACTTCTTGAACCTCTCAAGCCTCAACTGCTCATCCTCGGAAGCAGTTGCCCTGTCCTCAGGCTGAGCTGGCACTACAGGCGGTACATGAATAATCTCAGGGACCTGTTTGGCATGCACTCGCTGCTCAGGAGTTCGGGCGGCGGGAGTCTGTGCTCCTCGCCCAGCCTAGGATATAGCTGCAGCAAAGGGAAGCAACCCTACCTGAGCCAAAATGGTGTACATGCTCATGAATTGTGCCAGAGTCTCTTGAAGGGCTGGAGTAGTAGTGGCAGTAGGCGTGTTAGGTGCCTGGACTCTGGCTGGATTTGCTGGTGGTACCTCGGCGGCAACTCGCGCAGGTGCTCTCGCTGTACCACGTGTGCGCCCTCGGCCTCTACCCCATCCCCGGCCTCTGACGGCTGTAGTAGGGGTGCGGGTGCCTGATCATCTCGAGTAGCACGTGTCCTCACCATCTGTGAGAGAATAGAAGACAGAAGTTTAGAATTGTGATGTCAAAATATCGCACAACAAGGAAATCAAATGAAGTGAAGGATTTTCCTAACAATTACATAGCCTCTCGTAGATCGGCCTGTGTCAGACGTCTCCATACCGATCAATGAGACACTAATAAATCGGCCTGTGTCCCGTGACTCCTATGAACCTAGAGCTCTAATACCAACATGTCACGACCCCAGTTGCCCTCCGTGAACTGTCATGACGGCATTAGTCCCTATGACTAGGTAAGCCTAACAAGTGCAGAAATAAAATTGAAACTTGCGGAAATATAAATAAAGGAAAACCAAGAATAACCAAAAAAGGAAGCAATATATAGAAAGCCGCTCGACATATACATCATGACATCTCAAACTTCTACGACACTATCCCAAACCCGAAAACTCACGGGAACACAAGCTAGACGAGATACCGTAAAGTGCTCTAATCTCCAGAATGTCTACATCAACAGTAAGATAGAAAAGGCTAACACTACATGATAGAATAAAGATAGAGACTCCTTGGTCTGCGGACGCGGCAGATGTACCTCGAAGTCTCCAAAAGATCTCCCTGCCTCAATGGTGATATGCCTGGGTAGAGGTACCTGGATCTGCACATGAAAAACATGCGCAGAAAGGGGCATGAGTACACCACAACGGTATTCAGTAAGTGCCAAGCCTAACCTCGGTCGGGTAGTAACGTGGAAGGTCATGGAAACAGAATAAATAAGAAATATAAGTGAGAATATATAGTAAGAATCTAACAATATGATAAGAGTTCAATAACGGAAACAGAATATAAAGGCAAACCACAAGGAAGTACCACTTATAACAAGGATGACAACCGGGGATCTCTCAGTATCCCAGGGATCTCTTAGTACCCCCATATATGCCAGGGATCTCTTAGTAACCCGAGGATCTCTTTTTATCCTCAATGTATGCTAGGGATCTCTTGGTATCCCGAGGATCTCTCGGTATCCTCAATGTATGCTAGGGATCTCTTGGTATTCCGAGGATCTCTTGGTATCCTCAATATATGCTAGGGTTCTCTTGGTATCCCGATGATCTCTTGATATCCTTAATATACGTGCCAGGGATCTCTTGGTATCCCGCACCTCAGCCCAGAACATAAATATATATAGGGGATCTCCCGGGATGCCATCCCGTAGTCTCAAAGTAAAACACACAGGAACAATCAGATCATAAATACGTACAGGGGATCTCCCGGGATGCCGTCCCGTAGTCCCAAAGTAAAATACACAGCAGCAATACAAGAATACCCGATTAAGCTAAATTTCATACCAAGTAAACAGTTAATTCTAGCCCAACATGCTCCACATAATACAATTAAGGCAGTTTAAACAAATAGGCAATTAGGTCAATTAAACATGCTTCTCTAAACTAGCAACAGGCTAAATTCACCAGTAGAATAAAACAGGAAAGAGATCTCAATTTAAATACTTAAGGAAAAATCGGATTTTCAACAATTAGCTCAAGTACGCGCTCGTCACCTCACGTACAAGGCATTTCAATTACCAAATATATCATATTCTAAGGGGAAAGTCCCCCACACAAGGTTAGACAAGCCACTTACCTCGAATCGGCTCAAAAATCAATTCGAAACCACACGTTTGCCACGAGTATTCGACTCCAAATGGCCCAAATCTATTCAATTCAATCACATATTATAAATAACACTTCAAGTAACGGATTCTACAGTTAAATTCTAATCTAATACGCGAAAATATGTAAAATGACCAAAATGCCCCTCGGGCCCACATGGTCAAAACCCGAGGTTCGAACCAAAATCTAATTACCCATTTTCCCACGAACCTAATTATATAATTTGTTTTGAAATCGGACCCCAAATCGAAGTCCAAATCCTCAATTTTTGAAAAACCTAGGTTCTACCCAAAACTCCCAATTCCCCCATGAAAATTCTTGATTTTAAGTTGAAATCATGTTAAAAAATGTTAATAATTGAAGAAAATGAGTTAAAATTAACTTACAATCGATTTGGAAGAAGAGTTGTTCTTGGAAAATCGCCCAAAGGAGTTTGTGTTTTGAAAAGATGTGAAAAATGAGTTTGAAATCGTGCAAGTATAAAGTTGCATGTAGCAGGTATGGGAAATGCGAACAGGGGTTCCCCGACCTCTGCTAAATCTTGGGAATTGCGAAACAATGTTCGCATTTGCAAAACCTTCAGGAAAGCTGGACCTTCGCATTTGCGAACAGAATGTCGCATTTGCGACTGGGGAATTGCGAAGAATGGGTCGCATTTGTGACCCAAGGCTGGACAGGTATTTTCGCAGTTGCGAGCAATGCAGGCCTGAGATATTTTTCGCATTTGAGAAGCAATACTCGCATTTGCGAGCAATGCAGGCCTGGGATATTTTTCGCATTTGCGATACATCCTTCGCATTTGCGAGCCAGGCCTGATCATACCAGCAAAAATTCTGCAATTTTCTAAGTTCCAAATGCACCCCGTGGCCTATCCAAAACTCACCCGAGCCCTCGGGGCTCCAAACCAAATATGCACACAACCTCAAAAATATCTCACGGACTTATTCGTGTAATAAAATCACCAAAATAACCTCAATAACAACGAATTAAGCCTCAAATTCATAGAATTTTCTCAAACTTCTTAAAACATCAACTTTAGCAATTTAGGTCCGAATCACGTCAAATGACATCCGTTTTTCACCAAATTTTACAGAAATGTTTTAAATCATATATAAGACTTGTACTGGGCACCAGAACCAAAATATGGGCCTGATACCATCATGTTCTAATCAAATTTCATTTCAAATTTCTTTAAACAATTTCAGAAAACAATTTTCTTTGAAAATTCATTTCCGGGCTTGGGACCTCGGAATTCGATTCCGGGCATACGCTCAAGTTCCATATTTTCCTACAGACCCTCCGGGACCGTCAAATCACGGGTCCCGGTCCGTTTACCCAAAATGTTGACCGAAGTCAAATTAGCTCATTTTACAGTCAAAATTTACCATTTTTCACAGATTTTCACATCTAGGCTTTCCGGCTACGCACCCGGACTGCGCACACAAATCGAGGTGATGCTAAAAGCGATTTTTAAAGCCTCAGAACACAGAATTTCGTTTTAAAACAAGTGATGACCTTTGGGATCAGCATAAAAAGGCTATGTAAATGGCATTGTAAATACACACCAAAAGGAACTGAAATACTCCTTCTATCTTTGTTTCCTATTTATATTTTACTAAATTGCTTTTATTTTATAACAAATATCCACTTTTAGTTGTGATTGCATTATTAATAGACAACTTGTCTGTATTCCAACTGAAAATCAAGATATAGAATGACAAAAAAGCTCTTGAAAAGACTGGAAATTACAACTTGCTAAGGTCGAGTCACAAGTGTCTCCTTAAATAAAAAAGATGATGTGGCCCGAGAGCGAGGGTCCGTATACAACTCATTCACTATAACTAATCTAACATTTTCAGAAAAAGAAGTGCATAAAATTAGTGAATGGACAGCTAACAGGTTTAGATTACGTGCCCTATATGTTTGTATTTTTGATAGACATTTTTTTTATAACATTAATGTACAAGCCAGCAAAGACATCACTTGATATTTTTTCCTTTGATGGGTTGAACTTGAAACCATAGTTCTCAACCTAACTTCGTTGAAATGAATTGAATCCGTATTAAAACTGAAAAAATTTTATGAGTCAAAATAAAATTATATTTATACAATGATGTACTATCAAACCATTCTATAGCAACTTTGTTTGTTTCAAATATTTTTTGATGTTGTAGCGAAATGTTGTTATAGAGAACATATATTATAACATAACACAAGAATTTGTTTCAAAAAAGCTCGACTTTTATAGTGAAGTATTATTATATTGGGATGCTGTTATAAAAAGGTCTAACTGTACGAATTTGACGAAGTCAATATTCAAAGACTAGCATCCATATTGAACTTTCTAAACGAGCCTTCAAACGTATAGCGCATAGTTCGATGACACTGCGATAGTTGCACTCATTCCGACGCGAATTCATAATTTAAAATTTTGTATTCAAATTCATAAAATTCAATGGTTTAAAAAACAAACATGGTACAATTGCTTAACGGTTTTTGAAAAGGGTCAAGGTGATCTAATAAGTAAATTACTTGAAAAGTGTCACCGTACTTTCTATGTCATCCTTCAACATAAACATAAATAGCACTAGCATAAGTATAATCAACTCACGTGTAATAGAAACTTTAGGTATTTTGTAAAATACAATTACTTTCCTTATTTTTATTTATTTTTAAAATATTTATTTATTAAGCTTAGGGCAGTTTTATGAATATTATTATATTATAGGTTATGACAATGATATTTGAAATATGACAACATAATATTCTCCTTGTGTTGATAGAATGACCACATTGTGATGCTGCAATTGCTTTACATGGACATATAAAAGAAGGCCAAACATATGTTATAAAGTGTATTCTCATTTATATGGTCATTATCAATGAACAATGGTGCACCCTAGAGGAGTGAACATGGGAACACATGTGCATTTTGGTATTTTTGTTTTGGCTAAAATCTTAATGCACTTGTGTTCTCAGGTCACCCCTTTGGGGTCACCTTGCTAATTTTTTAATTTTTACCTTATATTTTTTTTCTTCTTAAGCCGGGGAGTTGTCGGAAGTCACTCTATTTACACAAGATAAGGATAAGATCTGCATACACATTATCCTCCCCAGACCCCACTTATGAGATTATACTGAGTTTGTTATTCTTGTCGAATTTTTCTTTTTTAAATTTGTTCCTCAATCATCATTCGCTATTTATATATTTGTGAGATTTCCATTCTTTTTGCACCATCTCGTCTTTGAGTGCACCTTGATTACGGTATTGTCATCTCACTACTAAAATTTTGTAAGGTTTACTAACTTATCCTTCTTTTTTTTTTTCATTCAGCTACATTGGATCCCCAATTAATTTAAATTCGCAGCACACAAGATCCATTAAAGAAGAAGTTCTAAAGTTCGTAACACTCGAACTCAAGATCTCTAGTTAAAAATAAAGAGATTTTATCTATCCCACCATAATTCTTGATTTAAATGTCATCGGATCGGAATCTTTTTTCATCAGAAGTTCATCCAAAGAGCTGGATTCCAACTGCAGCTAATAGCTTGTTTAATTTCCGATGGCCTTTCGGCCGATTTTTTGGCTGAAATTTCCGGAAAATCCAGCAGTGTGTTGCATTATTTATTTGAGAATGATGTATCATAGCAAAATATCTTTTTATTCCTAATTCTGTGGCCAATGTTCGTTCTGATTTATCCTATAAATCCTTATTTATAATATATTTCGAATTTAGAAGGTGCAATTATAGTTTAGAGAGACTTCAACAGGGGCGTGATTACCTTCAAAAGATGGGATGCATAGACGGAAATGAAAAAAAAAAAAATTAGTAGTGAGCATCCCCTTCTTTAGAGGATTTTATGCGTCGAAACTTCAATATGATTGTCAAATTAAAACTAATAAAAAATAGAGGCGTGATCTTTAGGGTTCACTTTTTTAACGATGGAACGCAAAAAAAGAAAAGAATAAAGAACCATATATTATCCTCATTTGAACACGTCAAGGGAGGTCCCATTATTGTTCGGTTGCTCAGAAAAATTGGAAACTTATTCGTGAAAAAAAGTAGTTTTGAAAATTAAATTGATAAAAATATATGTTGAGTTCTTTTCGTGAATATCAATTGTTATAACTCCATATAACAATTATCAACAATACATCATCTTTTAAAATATGTTTTTAGAACGTTTCCAATAAAAGCTTCACTAAATATATTTATACAGAAACTGCAGACGCTAATATAATCCTTTGAGTCCAATATATTATCTTAATTAATGATTGATCACATCGTCCAATATCAACTCTTCCTATACCATCGAGTGATGTGGCGCAGTGGATGAGGCTGCTCCTCCCTTAACCAGATGTCTCGAGTTCGAGCTCTGGGTATGGAAAAATCCTTAGTAGGAAGTGTAGACAATAATTTTGCGTCGAGAAAATAAAATCAAGACCGATAATATCGCAACAATCGTAGTATTTTATTTCAAATATTTGAGTGTTACAATCTCTATGATTCCTCTGATTCTACTTTTCAATAGTAAATAAATTCAAGAGCCTTTGAACTTGATCTTGAATCTATGTTTGTTGCCACGAACGATGATTTTGTTCTTGAGCTTGAGTTTGATTGCTTGGACTTGAACTTGATTTGGTCTTCGTTCTTGAGATTGAACTTGATTTGTTCTTCGTTCTTGAGCTTGAACTTAATTTGTTCTTCGTTCTTCGTTCTTGAGCTTGAACTTGATTTGTTCTTCGTTCTTGAGCTTGAACTTGATTTCTTGAAATTGAACTTGAAGCTTGAAACTTGTGGAGGAATTTTCAGCGTTTGATCCACGAGCTCTTTCTTGCTTCTTGTTATAACTTCTGGTCCCCTTTCTGAGTTATGAAGACCCCTATTTATAGTTGTGCGAGGGAAGAGTTATGATAAGAACAAACTCTTTCCGACCAATCAAATTGAAGTGTGACATGGCC